GAGTGTGGTAGACTTAAGTCAGACCTCTCTCTACATTACTACTTGGGACACGAAAGGGTACTAGTATTAGTACTGTACTGCTCTAGAAGGCGCTCCTCGCATATCACAAAAGTCGCCTGGTGAATCAAGCCCCGTGCCGGATGGCTATGCACTGCTCGCCGCCTTACATAATTGCTGAACGGCGCCGCCCTCAATATGGTATTCTAAAGAACAGATCCTCAACTCCTGCCACTGTTTTAGCTCCAAGCAAGACAAAAATGGAAAAAATCCAACCACCCTCACCAAAGAGAAGCCTCACAAATGCGCCCTCCCTTCCAACCTTCTCCGCCTCCTCTGCTCCATGACGCTCCGGCTCAGGCTCTTTTCTTCCTCGCTGCTCAGCCTCGCCGGCGCGCCCACCTTGCCTTTACCCTTGCCCTCTGCGCCTCGCACGGCGTCCTCAAACAGCTTCCTCCCCAGCGCGTCCGTGAGCGCAACGACGCGGATGCTGACCGTCGCCCCATCCCTGCGGTTCTTGCCCTCTCGCCGGCTCGAGGCAATCTTTTCGGTAAAATCCCACAGCCGGCCCGACGCCAGCAGCCGGCCCGTCTTTTCGTCCCTGCCTGGGCGCCACTCGGGCGCGACGCGCAGCCTTGGCGGGATGCGCGTGTCCTTGGACTTGACCACCTGGATGATGCCCTCCTCCTCGAAGCGCTGGTACGAGTTCTTGAGCGTCTCCTTGTTGACAGCTTCGAAGTAGGACAGGTCACCTTGGTGGTACAAAGTTTTTCCTAGCTACATGCGCACACACACACAGAGTGAGTTAGTGGAAAAGGCTCCGTTGAAGTGTTAGTGGGCGGTGGGGTAGAGGGAAACGTACCAATTGCGCGCTGTCCTGCGCCTTGGAGACTTGCACCCAAATGTCATCTTTCTGCCCAATCGGCGGCGTCAGACCCATTAGCGATACGGCGGCCAGCCAGCTCGCCTCAATGAAGGGCCAGATCAGGAAGCAGTAAAAGTCGTAGTTTTCTCGGCCGGCGGCTCGTTCCGCGTCAGAGAGGCCGACTTTGCTGATGTTTCCTTCTTCATCCCTCTCGATGAGAATGATATTGTCTGCTTCGAGCCCGAGGACCGTCCTCTCCAAGTTCGTAGCGAGGCCTTCGCCCGAGTAGATGAACTCGCCACGGAAGAGCGATGAGAGAAAAAGGACTTGATCGTGCAGGTCCTGATAAGGGATGTCCTGGATTGGCGGCCCGCCGCCGCGCTTCACCCGCGTGTAGAGCGCCGCGGCAACCAGGGCTTCCGAGATGAATAGATGAATGGTCATGTTGCGGTAGAAGGACAGCTGGAAGCGGTCGACGGCGTAGTAGGTCGGCTCGGCGAGGCCCTCGACAACGCCGACGAGGTCTTTGCCGAGCACGTCCAGACCACGCTCGATGACGTCTGGGAGTGGCGAGTTTCCAAAGTGAGCGACTCGCCCGCCTTTGGCTCTTATCCTATCCGTCAACCACTCCACACGCCGGATGAGCTCGGCCCTCCCGACGCCACGACCGCGCAGGGTTAGTAAGACGGTTCCGATCAGGGCCGTGGGCATCACCACCGACACGGCGTTGATGTCAGCCAGCACCTTATAACCGAGCGTCCGCAAGAGCTTCTGTCGAAGCATCTGGTTCTTCATGTCTTTCCAGTTGATGTTGATGGCCGACGGCATTTTAGACAACCTAGACAGTTGCTCGTTCATGAAACCTCTTAAACTCCAGGGCTCATGAAACCGCACGTCGACCCTCCCCAGCCGGAGAGAGAGCACACTAGACCCGCCTGAGAGGAAATCCGCCAAGTTTTCCTTCTTCTTTGGAACGCCCAACAGTTCGGTAACGTAGCCTTCGGTTTCAATGACCTTGTCGTACTGGGTACTGACAGGGCAGATGATGGCGTCATCGACGCGGCCAGACAGAAGGCTGTCGAGAACAAAGTTTAAAATGCCAAACTTTGGGGGCAGCAGCTTGCCTGTCCGCGAGCGGCCTCCCTCGATGAAGCATTCGAGGTTGTAACCGCCTTGGAGCAGGACGTCGATGTACGTTTGCACTAGTGTTGTATAGAGTTGATCGTCGCCGAAGGAGCGGCGGATGTACATGGCTCCTTGACGACGATGAGCATCTGGACAGCAAGGGAGAACGGGGAGTGGGCTTACCGGCATGCTGTAAGAAGCTTCCAACGACTGGAAAGTTCAAGTTGTCACCAGCTACCACGACTGGAAGCGCCAAGCCCAACCTGTAGCAGAGCAGCTGCATGGAGACATAATCTACGTGCGACCTGTGGCAGGGTAAGAAGATGATACTCTGCTTTTTCCTTGCCGCCTCCTCAGCCACCCTCCGCAACCGCAGCACCTCCTCGCTCGACACGTGAATGCCCTGGTGATACGCCCTCAGCAGCAGCTGTGTCACCAGGTAATACGCGCCTCGGATGAACGGCTTACTGTCGAACTTGCAAATCATCTTGTCGGTCAAGTTCTCGGCCACCTCCTGTAGGCTCTGAACAAGCACGGCGCGGCGCTGGGCCTTTTTCACGACAAACTCGCGGTCATTTTGGTTGAGTAAGCCTTCCTTCTCCTCAACGGCAATCCGCATGTCAGCCAGCTGGGCGATCTTGGTCTGCAGCAGTGTTGCCGACATTATCTGGCTCTTAATGTGCTCCGAGAAACCCGAGTAGAAGATGGGCTGGCCGATGACGTCGTCGTAAGCACGCCAGCCGGTGCCGGAGACGTAGAGGGACACCTCACGAAGGAAACTGTCAAAGTCAGCCCAGGAGTGACATGGAGACGGCGCAGTACTGGGATAGTTACCGCAATGGCTCTGAGCGGAAGCGGGCCATGTTTTTCATGAGGGCCTCCTCCCTGCCATCCTCGGTGAGTGCCGGCTCGACGAACCCGCTGGGCTGGAGCGTGATGCGGTCGCCCAAAATGCGCAAATCGGGCGCCGAATCATGGCGGTCATCCTCCGGAGCCATGATCGCCTTCGCTGAGTCGTCCTCTCTTCCGTATGTCCCTCCCTTTTCCCAATCCGCGCCTCTTCCGCCGTCAAGCAATCTCTGCGTTCAATTGGGGGTTGGGCCGATTCGTTTACACCTCTGAGAGCAGTTTTCGTAGTGCTGCAGCAAAGGACCAAGATTTGGTGCATAGCTCGAGTCGAAGAAGAACTGCAAGTGCCGGTGCTACCCTCTGATGACCGAGGTTGGCTGTTACAAGCACTTGCTCCAAGGGGAAGCGACAGGGGTCCTGCTTTGGCGCAGATGTTCCCATGGGGGTAGTGGGGCCGAGGGGAGCGCCCAAACGATTACCTACGCGGGGCCCTGCTCAGAGCTACAGCCAAGCGTTCCAGTGGAGGTTCAGCATTCCGTCACCGATTCGCAAAAAGGCAAAAAAAAAAAAAGTCCCAGAGGAACAACAAACCTGCTGAAGTCAAACACAAATAATCCCCGATGCAGCTCAAATTACCTCATATGACTATGGAGCCGAACGCCAAAAAGGATCAGCCAATAGCTGCCATACTCCTCGCACGCGCCCACGACCCGGACGAGGCCACACGCATATTTACCGAAAAGGTTCAGCAGCGTCCGCTCTTCTTGGCCCCGTCCTCCCCGCCCCCTTCGGACGCGCGCGCCGCGCGCCGCCGAGCCCAGGAGAAGAAGCGGCAGCAGCGTAAGAAAGCGCTCAAGCCTAAGCCCCTCTCAGCCTCCCAGCGCCGGAGGCTCGGCCTCTACAGGGTGCCCCGCGAGCGGCAGCGGTACGCGCTCTTCGAGCCGCTGCACCAACTCTGGCTCGGCTATGTGCGCGAGGTCCTGGGGCACGAGGTCTACTCAGGTGGTGAGGGGGCTGCGGCCAAGCTGGCGAGCGCCGATTTTCACGGGGCCGGCGTTGAGGTTGTCCGGAGTGGGTGCGTGAGCCGGGTCGGAATCAGGGGGATCGTGGTCAAAGACTCCAAATTTGCCTTTGAAATTGTGACGAGGGACAACAAGCTCAAGCTGGTGCCCAAAGAGGGCACCGTGTTTCGATTCGAGGTACCGGTTTCGGACTTGAAGCCCACGGAGGGCGAGAAACCCGCCGAGGAGGCCACGTCGAAGATGGTTTTTGAGATTCATGGGGAGCAGTTCCAGTTCCGGTCCGCCGATCGCGCGTCGAGAAAGTTCCGATCGCACTTCTCCAAGAAACTGTGATCAGTGGTGGACTATGGTCAGGAAAGATTTGAAATTATCAGTCGAGCGGCTATACCGTTCCGTTTCTGATGATAAGGAACTGATATGGGACTCGTCCAAGGCGTACCCAACATTCAACTTCGGTAGGCATCCGTCTCAGCAGTGGGGTTTTAGTTGCTAAAATTCACTGCAGTCCACCAGCACTAGCAGTCGTGGAGACCAAAGGGATAGTCCTCCAACATCCCTTCGCGGTGCCATACGACGTCAGAGTCGAGCGGTGTGGGCTTCTGGTTCCAGTTCGCGTACTTGTAGCTGCCTGGAACAGACTCGACATCAGCCTTCGTGCGCATAGCCGACTTCTAATTTGGCTAACCCTTCAGTTATGATTTGGGGGAACGTTGGTAACCCATTCTTGTGGTGGACACGATGTTCACAGAATACCAGGGTAACTACAAATCCGGTGGACTGGGAGATTGGTTGCTCAATGGCGGATTGTGAACGAGACACCATCCAGTCTGGAAGCTACCGCGGACTTGAAGGAAGAAGGTCTAAGGGTAGTGGAAACGGAGCAGTCAAGTAAGGATCCTGAAGATACGGGCAGGTCGAGGACATCCAAGCAGCAGCAGTGCTGCAACAAATCAGAGTTCCTCTGTCCGCGCCGAGCGGTAATGGCACGGTAAGACATTCGGTGACCAGGTTAGTCGTGTCCGGGTCTAGTCGATAATGCTGCCTTCATACACAGCAAAGTGAAAACAAAAAAGTACACAGTACTATCTCTTCTTCTGTCTAATAAAAAGATATAAGATCTTCGGAGAGCGATGAAGGCAAAACGATCCACCCAGGGGTCGAACCTGGAACCTCCTGATTACTCGATGTCCTCTGATTACTTCAGAGAAGTCGTAGTCAGACGCTCTGCCATTGAGCCAGCGGACCTTGTTGGAAGACGGGTGGTGGACTTCGAGTGAAGAGTTTGCAACATGGGCGGAGAAGCTGCGGAGTCGGTCAGGGGTAAGGCAGCTTGGGTAGATATGTATCCATTGCGACTGCAAAAGTGGCGACCCAGAAGCGTCCGACTTCTGCTCCCAAAAATACATTGGATGTATTTCGCCTGATTAATTTCGTACCAGTAACGAAGAGAGAAAATAGAGGAGTGAATTCAAGAATGGTCCGTCCAATCTTCTAGTTGAATTGTTTCTCGCACACACACTCAGCGTTGGCAGAATATCGCGGGCAGATACAAGGCCGGTGCCTACGATAGGCAGCATGTGAAAGCCTTCTAATATTGGTTTACGCCTCTTAAGGCCTGAATACATACCTACCTATCCGTCTAGTGTACAAGAAACAACCCTCCTAAATCCAAGTCGAGGCACATTGTTGCGCCTCATCTCTATCATACGTCTATAGGAGCCCGCAAATATGCGCGCTAAAATGTGACGAAATCCAAAACGCCGAACAATGCAAGATTGGTGCCATAATGCCAGTTACCTAGTTCGATGCTCTTTTAGTTGGACTTCTCCTCTGCAGGTGGCAGTATGATGTTGTCAATCAACCTGACGGGCGGACCCCCGCTGTGGCCGAGGTCTTCGCCCTCCCCTGGTGCTTCCACGGGCAGCATCTTGACGGCGCCGCTCAGGATACCGCCCCTTGCGGAATCGACAATGTCAATCTCTTCCATGGTGTCGGGGTCTGCGAGTGAGAGATAGTCGACTTCGAACCGTACCCTCTTCTCTGGCGCCAGCGCCATCTGCTCCGCCAGCGTGCGCTCGACGAGGCTCTCGGCCGCGCCAAGCACCGTCACCCGGTCCCTCGCGCCGCCCTCGTACGCCGCCTCAGCCGCTCGGAGCGCGTTGTAGAGCACGGGCGCCACCGCCCTCCTCCTTTGCCCCAGGTAAACGTTCCTGGAACTCAGGGCGAGCCCGTCCTCCGGGGCTCTGGCGGTGGGGCCGATCACTACTTCGATGGGCAGCATGAAGTCGCGCACCATCCTCTTGATCACCACGGTCTGCTGCACGTCCTTCTGCCCAAAGTAGACGCGCTCCGGCTGCACAATGTTGAACAGCTTCATGCACACGGTGGCGACACCGCGAAAGAAGGTCGGGCGCGAGCGGCCCTCGAGCACCTCGCCGACGGGCGTAATAGTGACGAAGCTGCCCTTGCTGTCAACCTCCTGACCGGGGAAACCACCGGGGTACATTTCGGCCGTGGACGGGGCGAAGACAGCGCTGATGCGGCCGAGATTGCATCCGTCGTCGGCCAGCTCGCGATCCAGGCGCACAAGGGCGTCGGCGTCGGCGTCCCAGGTGACGGGGTAGCTGGCCAGGTCCTCGCGCACGCCGAATTGGGCCGGATTGACGTAGAGCGAGACGACAACGTGGTGGTTCTCGCGGGCGGCGGCGCGGATCAGCGACAGGTGGCCCTCGTGCAGGGCGCCCATGGTCGGAACGAGGGCGATGGAGCGCTGGTCAAGAAGGTGCGGGCGGCGCCAGCGACGCAGGGCCGAGACGGTGCGCAGGACGCGAATCGACGAGTTGGGCAATTTTTCGAGACCGTTGCCTCGCGAGGCAGAACTCACGCAGCCCGAAGCCATTGTGCGGACGGCGGCTGGTGGACGTCGGAGGGGATGGTGTTGTGCTGGCCAAGGATGTTGTTGGCTAATCGTGCCTGTGACAAACGGGGAGAGTAGGCGGCTGCATGCAGTCGGCAGCGGGGCACGCGACAGGAGACGATGATGGGAATTGATGGCGGGGCGGGCGGCGTGCCGGAGGAGGGGTAACGACGGCTGCATCCCGTCGAAGCAGAGCTGTGGCGTGCGCGAAAGGGATCGAACCTTGTATGCCGATGATGTCAAACTTGTGGGTAAGATTGGACGGTGAGAATGGAGGGCATGGCCTCGGCTGCCGGGTGCAATCAGGACGACGAATTTAACGCGAGCATTCTGTGATGGTTTCTGCAGCGGAGTTTTGAGGACGGCTTCCGAGGCACGCGAGGGTTGCCAATGCCCCATGCAGCGCCCTCAGGGTTCTCGCCAGCTGCGGGCCAAGACCAACTGGCAGTGAGCTAGCAATGCGGTCCCGGGTATGGACAGGCAGGGGTTGTTGTGCAGGGCACTTCGCTCCAACCATGGTCTGGTTCTTTCCCGAATTGGTCACTATGTACTGTAATTATGTACACAACGAACCTGAGATATAACTTGCTGAGGGCCCAAAGTTACGCCCACCTATTTCTCCTACTGAGAAACGCGCTTTCCAATTATGTATTGAAAGGGAGGCTATGAAAGAAAAGAACGCACATGCCATCTTACCCACAGAAGGTAGCGACCTGTTGTCGACACCACCACCCATAAAAGGATTATTAGTTATTCTGACAAACCGGTCCTGCTCTTTGCCCCTCCGACCGAGTCAGCAATTTCAAGCAACACCATAATCATTTCCATTTCCACCTGCACCAGCGTGGTCCTCAAACACGGTCCGGTTCCCACCCCCAAACCACTTCGTGAACTCGTACCCGTACCCGACCGTGCCTCTAACATCCACCGTGCCCATACCCAGCGCGCCCGCAGGAGGCTGCGGACCAGCACCACCCACATCCACCGTGAAAGGTGCCGTACTCGTGAACCCTTGGACCCGCCCCAGCAGCACCTCCACCATGCGGAAGGCCACGGCCGGTTGGTCCTGCGCGACGAGGTGGCCCGCCAGCGCCGTCTCGAACCACGTGAGCCCGCGCTCCGAGTGGCTCGTCCCGACGACGCCCGCGCCCGCCGGTCCAGCCGACGCGTTAGTGTTGTCGTGGTACGGCACGAACAAGGGCGCCCAGGGGCGCACCCTGAACCCTCTAACGCCCTGCCACGTCAGGTTCTGGATAGTGAGCAGCGTCGCGTCGGGCAGCACGAGGAAGTCGCGCGAGCCATGGCCTAGGATCACGTTGCGCGTGCCATCGATGACGCGCGGAATTACCGGCTGGCTGCCGGGACCGGACTTTATTGAGGCGTCGACACCAGTGGCGAAGACGGGGTTGGCGAAGAGAGGGGGGCAAAACGCCCAGGTTGCGTTGAGCGGAGCGTTGAGCGCCGCCTTGACCGCCGGCAGGTTGAAGTAAGGCGTGTCGAAGGACGATGGCAGGATGAACCTGCCGGCTGCAAAACCGATAGGATCTTTGTGGGAATTTGGGGAAAGCTTATGTTAGCACGCGGCACTCGATCGCATTTTACCTCTCTTACCAGCTATGCAATGAGCGGATGGATAAGGTTTGGGGATACTAACCAAACGGTAGAGGGCAGCGCGACGTGACGTCGAAGAGGTTGAGACACGGGTTAAACTGGCGCGCCTCCGTGAACGCGGCAACGAATATTGCGCATTCTGGTCGAACCATGCCCGTTGCAGGGTCCTCTCCTGGGAGGATTGAGGGTTGTTGCCCCTTGGGTGGGAAGACAAGGAACTCGTCGAGATATGCCGTGAAGCCGCATCGCTGATCGACAAGTTTGAGACCCGCCCGAAAGGTGTCGTTGAAGGGAAGAACCGTCTTCCACTTTTCAATGAACCTGGCGGTCGGTATGTCCTCTGCGAGCGGAAGTTTGGAGTACAGTCCGTCCCAGATGGCCATGCCCGAGATGTTGAAATAAGTCGTGTTGTTCCGGTCGAGCATGGCGCTCGAGATGTAAGGAGCGTACATACCCGCGTACGAGGAACCTGTGACGTGCACTTGGTACCCCTGAAGAGCGAATGTCTGGACAAAGTTCTGCCAAAAGCCGAGGAACTGCTGGGCCACGTCCTCTTCGTTGATCGCCGTGGGTGCACCCCGCGAGAACCCCGTGCCAAGGGGCTGGTCGATCCACACGACGTTGGTGAGTCGGTGCCAGCTCCATCGGTTCGGAATGGGCTGAAACGCCCCAGGTGGCCAGGAAATGGGGCCATTCAGCTGAAGGAGCTCGCCAATGGATGAGCATCCTGGTCCACCGGTGAGATAGATCAGGATCTCTTTGTTTTGGTAGGCCAGCGGGTTGGTCGAGGGGAAGAACCAGAAGTACAGCTGACTACCGGTATCATCGCCGATAGGGAGGAGCCCGGCGTACGACTCGCCTACATCGAAGTCGACCAGCGGTAAGGCCGATCCGTTAACAACGAACCCTAGATACGTCAACAAGCCGGTTTCTTTCACTGGCCAGCGGGTTTACCTTACTGCTTGATTGTTCATTGAGGAACGGCGACTGTGTCTGATTTGGAACTGACCGATATCGCCCGCTGAACATACGCGGCTGTTGGTACCCCAGGGCGTATCCCACCCACGCCAAAACCAACGATGCGAGGCTCCAGCGCATCATGTAAGTGAGGGCAGAGAAAGACTCAAGCCGTGGCTGGACAACCGTCTGTCTGGGGGTCTCGGCGTGTTCGGAAACCTCTCCGAGTTTGTGCTCTAAGCGATGGCACTTGGAAAGCTGTGACGGCCTGATATTCTCATAGCTCTTCCCAGCTTGAAGTTGTTTTGGTACGATGCCTGGTTCTGTTTGTTCCAGCTCGGACCCCGAGTTACAGCCCCTTGGCGGCGATGTGCACTCGAACACGTCATGAGCAGGCGGATTCAGAGAGTCGGGACGAAAAAGGACACCTGGAATGGCCAAATTGCTGGAGCGTGGGCACGACGAGCGTGGGGTATGGCATTCGGGCGATTCATATGTGGGAGAGGTAGGTACATCTTGACCAGGTTTGACCGGCACATTTCGGACAGGATCTTGGGTGTCTTGTCTCGTGGCTGCCATTGCTCTCCTTAGATTCCTCCGTACAATAGCAGGGGCGGACAAGTCAAAGAAAGTAATTCTGTAAGCGACAAGGGCCGGCGGCCAAAATAGGTAGGGACAAACAGGCCGTTTGTTGATCGAGCAAGACGGCGATTTCTACCTTTATGACCTGCGGAAGCTGCCCCCTTTCACCACAGACTCCAAGGCTTGGGTGCGACTCCAGAAGGTAACAACCTTGGGGCATCCAAGTAGTAAAGAATGAAGAGATCCTCTTTGCATTGACCGCTTCTCGGCTTCTCGGTCCATTTGAGCAATATAACCCCTGAAATCAAGGGTTCGTCACGTCTGGGCGCAATGACGAAAAACGATGATATTCAGTCGCGTCGGCGCAAACGCATCGACAAGGTCAGGGCACAGTATAAGGGAACCTTCCGGCCAGACACAAAATAGGACAAAGCGCAGGCTTTGCGGAATCTGCAAAAAGAGAGAAACAAAAACAAAAAAGGGGGTGATCACAAAGAGGGCAAAAGTTTTGACAAGAGTGGGATTCGAACCCACGCCCTTTCGGACTGCCAATCAGAAACCTGAAGACAGCGCCTTAGACCGCTCGGCCATCTTGCCTTTGCTGTTATTGTTGAATAACGGAACGGCAGAAGGCTCTAGGTACAGCAAACCGAGAAGGTTCGATTCAAGGGACTTGGCCCTCAACTTCGTTGCCTCTCTCTTTCATGAAATAGAAATATGAGACTAGCTTCAGTAAGCATGATCGATATCCATTTTCAACACTGTATATCGTTCCTTGGCAGCCAGCTAAACCTTGAGAAATCCGCTGCTTGGTTTGCTCTCTAAGTTTGGCGAAGCCTCGCCCCTGAACTCAGCTTCCAACTTCAAGGTTCAGCAACCGGCAGTAGTAGCCTGCTGCTCTATAAGACGCCAACATAGGACACTGGGTTAATGATCACGCCATATGCACCGTCGATCGAAAGTTATAGGTTGAACTCCCTTGTCGTCGTTCACCCATCGGCCCTCTGCGAGTATCTGCTTCCCGTCCACAGCACTCCAAAACGTCCAAATTCTGTTCCAAGAACTAGCGTTCCCCGTAACTATCTGTTCGGCGTCATTTAAGTATTGGGGAGTTCTGCAGATCAAATCTACTCGTGTGGTAGCCAACTGCTGAATGGCTATGACTTTACTGAAAGTAACGGCACAGGTGCTGGCTCTGGAGCCACGAAGCGTGCCCGCTGAAGAACCGTGTTCTTTGACCATAAGACGCTGAAGCTACTGATCTAAGTAAACGGTATTATCCTTGCACAGTAAACTAACTCGCCTCAAACCGGCGGCTGCCGGTCGCCAGGGTGAGCCTTCTCGATGCTGACGGGCCAATCCAATCCTGACAAGAGTGATCAGAGCCACAATCTCTCGACCACGGCCGCTTCCATCCGCGGGCACCAAGCCTCGAATTTTGCCCTTCCGCTTCTCCTACTACCACACAACATATGGAAGTATGTTGCGGCCCTTCCTGGCAAAACTACCCCCAGGGCGATCATAACTCACCAGCCCTGGACATTATCGCCCAAAATCAAGCGTACCGTGAACGATTCTCAACCAAAGGCTGACGACAGGCCGATACTCCCGCTCGAGGAACTGTCACTTTTCGGCGAACCCGACAAGGACAGTGCCGAGCTAATCAGTCCGCGCACACTCTGCGCCCGAATTGCTGAAGTTTGGTTCGATCCGGTCGGACTCTGAGGCGGAGATTCGCCCCGGATCTGCACCGCATTTTGCGGTCCGGCCCGCAGCACGCCGCTCTGATTCTGATGAGACTCGATCACCTTGCTCTTACTGTCGGCCGAGCTCCCTGTCCCCGCCCAGTCTTTGGCGTCAGTTTGTGCCCAAACCGGCGGGACCCGGCCATTCTCTCGTCGCGGCGGCTGCTGCGCTCCGTCCCTCCGCTGAACCTGAGCGCCTCTCTCGCCGCTCCCGCTTCCGCTATTGCTCTCACCGCTGACCGCACATGCCCGACAGCACTACCCGGCAGACGCAGCCCGAGGCGTAGCCGGAGGGAAACGGGTGGGCAGTGACGCACGCTGCGCGCGTCTCACCAGGTGCGGGTCTGACGCCGAACCCGAAGGAAAAAGCGGCGACGACGTCTTGGCCTGCCCGTGGCCAAGCGCAGGCAGGACACGGGCGCTGAGCTCGGGGCATGAGGACGAGAAAGGTGATCTCCCCTTCTTCATCGCCGATAATTTCTTACGGGAAGAAGAAGAGAGTTTCGGCGGTACTCGCAGTGGTAACCTGTGTCGCTGATGCCCTTGGGTCCGCCAAGATTGTCTGGACGAGTTGGTGGAAGTTGTTGTGGGCCGGGAAGAAGACCGTGTTGGGTAGAAGGGACCAACGAGGGAAAAGGAAGCTAAACCAGACGGTGGAAAGAGCAGCGGAACTTCCATTGCTGCTGAGCCCGGGGCGTGACCACGAGTTTGAAGGTTGTCTTGTAAGCGAGAAGGGGGGTAGTAGTAAGCCGGCTGGTTTGGGCCGATTTGAATGACAGGGAGCGGTAGATTGTTCGCTTCCCTGCGAGAGCTCGGCTGCTGGACGTTAACCTCTGGCGGTACTGTAGTGGTATTGGGTAGAGTCGAAGCCTCTAAGTGCTGCGAACCTCGTCGATGGAAGAAGCGGTCGCGGACTCTGCGCAACCGCTCCCGCCATTTGCCCCTTGCCATGGTAGAGGAATAAGAGCACGAGAGAGATTTGGTGGTGAGATTGGGGAGGGAATGTCGAGAAAAGGGTTAACTGCTGCCGCAGTACCGTACCCTGCAGATATCGTGCTATATAAAAGAGATGATATGGCACGTAAGGTTGGCGGTACAGGCCCTGCTGATACGCAACAACCAAGAGCCATAAGAGCTGCTTCAAAGACCACAGTTAGGAAGGCTGCTTGGATCCACAAGGGGCAGGATGGGATCTGGTTTGGTGGTCACCTGCTGTTTATTCTTGCCCCATCCATGTTTCTCCGTGCCATGCATGTCACCGATTCCGCTCCAGCATCTGCGTTTAAGGGAAAGAACGAGTGAAGTCTGCCAGAATTCCCAGGCTATATCAACTATGAGCTTGAAGAACTTCTTAAAACTCTGGAACTCATAAATGACTAACGCTAGTTGTCAATTCTAAACACAGGGATCAGACTCGGAACGAGCTCATCGTCGAGTCATCACCGAACTCCTCGAGAGATTCAGAGGTAGAGCGTACCTTGTCCCGTAGATTCCCGAAGGAATCGAACGCCAACAAACATACAGTGAGCATCGCTGCCCAATTTGTACCGTAACCTGAATTTGCCTGAATGGGACAAATCAAGAGGCGACGCAGAAAGTTAAAAAATTTAGTCCGCTTGCCCGTGATGACCAGAAAGACCATAACCGACCAAGACACTGTGTTCCAATTGTTCTGTGATACAATCTGTCAATAGAAAGCTGCAGGCGTTCTAATATTTTGCGCAAAACCTGAGAGGATTTGATTCTCGCACACCGAGATCGGACATGGCTCCGCAACACCCATCCATCAACAGCCACCTGCGTGACCAGATCCCAGCAAACTACCAACCCCAAACTTCCCTTACCTCTAGAAGAAACACGATACCGACCTCCTCACTCAAATCTCGATAACAACAGCCTGCCCGTAGACCTGGCCAGCTCCATCACCCCAGATGCCCACGACCGACAGCAAGAAGCCCAGCCCCGCGAGGGCGCTCCTGACGACCTGCTTCTTGAGGAACACCTCGACCTCGGCCCGGACCTCCTCGCCGTTCACGTCCGCCGTCGCCTCATCGCCTTCGAGCTCTTCACCGGTGCTGCCCTCGCTGTGCGCGTCCGACCCGCCGGCGCCCAGCACCTCGTAGCTGGCCTCCATCCTCGCCCGAGCCGCGGCGCGCCTCTCCTTCTCCTTTTGCTTCTCCTGTCTGGCGGCAGCGGTATTAGCCGTTGTTGACGCAGGCCGGACGGGGCCCAAGGCCGCGAGCAGGTAGGGCGCGAGGAAGTCGGACGCGGCGAGGTGCGAACCGAGGACGAGAGCCGAGGCGTAAAGCAAGTAGGGGTGGCGCAGCGGGCGCGGAGAGAGGCAGTAGGCAAGGGCAAAGGCCGACGAGGAGACGGCGGCGAGCGAGCTGAGGTGGTGCGCCGCCGTGGCGGTGAGCACGTCAAAGGCACGCGCCGCGCTGCCAGCCGAGGGAAGCGTCAGGAGCGCGGGGATGGTGAGTGACGAAAGTGTGTAGGAAAGGCCCTGTAGAACGAAAAGGACCATGGGTTAGTATGATACTTCACAAACGGTGAGCGGTATGCAGCCGTCCGCGATATTCCACAAATCATCTCTGGGCGGGGAAGAGGCGCAAGAGGGCAAACGCACCGTCAGGACACCGAGCGACACGGTGCCAACGAACTTGAGCACCGACACGCCTCTCGCAGCCATGATTGCAATCGTCTGTCGTTCGTGACTGATGATCCGCAGGCGTTGAGTTTGGCGATAGAAGGACGCAGTAAGAGAATGGAGCTTGTCAAGTGGGTGGTTGGTGGCAATTGCACCTGTCAATGCTGCGGAAGAGCATCGCAAAGGAGGGGCAGGTTGCCTTGGCGCTTCGTGCGCGATCTTGGGCGCCAAGCCACGGCCCGTTGCTCTGCGTCATCATGAGCCCAGTCGGCAGGGGTATCCTGTTTGGAGAGGCAAGAGAGGCAACCCGCGGCTGACCCTAACCCTTTCGATTGTTTGTTGATTTTTATCAAAACTATTTTCCTGCACAACTCAGCATCCCTGTCAAAAGGCAACGTGCCAGAGTGGTTAATGGGTACGCCTCGAAAGCGTATGGCTTCGGCCGCAGCGGTTCGAATCCGCTCGTTGTCGAATACTTTTGCCGGTCTTAACTTTTGTTCGCCTTTTTTCGATCCAAGAGGCTTCGTCGCCGCATGATGGCTTTCGCCTCTTGCAAGAGGCGACAGACGGGGGAATATCAGAGACCGGATCCATGAGGAGTGTGCAGGCGAGGTCAGGGACGTCCAAGGTTTACTACGCTCTTGACATTGGTTCAGAGTGTCTTCATATCTTGAGGAGCCGCAACCTCAGCTCCGTAGCAAGGCGTCTAATGGATTTGGGTATGATAGTGCATTTGCTCCATATCTTGCTCACCCGCTACATGAAGAACACAGCATATGCTTCTCGTCAAAAACTAGCACGGATTCCCTCAACCAAGTTGGACGGCTTACTCCACATTCAACCGCCAGAGCCCATCCCCCAGGAAATGCGCCTCTTCCATCACGGGTCCCTTCCCCTTTTCTTTGATCTCCTTGGTTCCCATGGTCAGGATCCCCACGGCCGCGGCCTCCTCTTTCCCCTCGGCCATGACTACAACAGGTTCTCCCTTCTCTAGCTCCCTGCTCCAATGCCCATCCTCATCCGGCCCCTCATTCGGCACCTTGACGCCCTCCTCTTCGTCCTCATCGCCCTCGCCGCCGTCCCCTTTCCCTTCCTTACCGCTCTCTTCTTTATTCCCACCAGCGGCGGCATCCCGATCCACGGGGATGGGCAGTCTGCCACCCTTGCTCGTTAAGCCAGGAGCCATGAGGGTGGCACCCGAGAGG